TGGTACTTTGTTCCACTCTGTTCCACGTAAGAGTAATGTCAAACATGGAACAGTGATTCCTATTCCGTCCTGTCTTATCTAGTATACTGAACGCACCCTTAGATAGCTTACCAGAATGAGATCTGCAGAAGGTAAGAACTCCACTTGATGTGTGATGTAAATCACTGTCTTTGAAACCAGAAATTTCAACATGCATTCCTGCGATAGAAAAACAGAAAGCCAGAAGTTAGAAACCAGCTACATTCTAGAAATTCTTTGAAACATTAGTTTTCGTAGCTGTAGATCGAATCTAAAGGAGCAAAACCGGATCGCTTACTTTGAAAAGAWGACTTCCGGTATGAGCATCAACAGCGCTGAACGGATCATCAAGTAGATATATATCGGCATCTTGATAAAGAGCGCGTGCAATCTGTATTCTTTGCTTCTGACCACCGCTCAAGTTGATTCCCGACTCACCGATRACTGTCTGATCACCAAACGAAAGAATTTCAAGATCTTTCTTCAAAGAACATGCCTCGAGAACTTTCTCGTACCTTTCTCTATCCATCTTCCTACCAAACAAGATGTTTTCTTCGATCTTTCCGCTCTGTATCCATGGCGATTGAGCTACATAAGCCTTTGTTCCTGATACTCTTACAATTCCAGAAATCTTGGAAATTTCTCCTAGAATACAAGAAAGTAAGCTAGATTTTCCTGATCCAACCGTCCCACAAACAGCAACTCTTAAACCATGATTCACTCGGATRTTGATATCGTTTAGTGTCGGGTTGGGAGAAGTTACATCCCAAGAGAAATTCCCATTAATTATCTCTACAGCCATATCAGAGCCACTTCGCGGAACCTTATTTATAGCTTTAGAATCTATGTCGTTGAGACGAAGGAAGGTGGCTATGCGATCGAGTGACACTTTAGTTTGGAAAAACAYTGATATCGAGTCGGGGAGATTGTAAATCGGCTCTTCGAGTATCTGAAACGTAGCCAATGTAGAAATTACCTTTCCGGATTCGAGAGGGATGCCCACGAGCAAACAAGTAGCGAAAGTGATCACAGCTACAACAATCGGAGCKCCCCAGAACAAGAAAGAATTCACGGACAACGTATACACGTATCTCTTCAACGGTCGTTCCCCTTCGTCGCGAAGTTTGATGATTTTAGATAAAAACTTCATCTCCCAACCTTGAAGCTTAAGGATCCKCATGTTTCTCAAGATTTCAGATGTTGCTTTCATCCTCTTATCTTTAGATTTCATCAATTCATCTTRAAGCTTTTCTTGTAAATTCCCTAGTGGAAGATTGGCTAACAAAACAAAAGYCATAGCGACTAATGCAGCGATTGCGGCAAGCCCGAGATTTCGATATAGAAGTGCTAACCCAACGCCTACTTGCACGAACACGAGCCAGAAATCGTGCATATACCAGCCGTAGTCGCCGATCCTTTCAGCRTCAACGGCCATGAGRTTTATGATCTCACCAGTTGAGCTCCCTTGCTTGGAATGACCGGAAAYGGTTAAACCCTTTTGGTAAATCATGGCAACGATAGCGGATCTAGCTCGAATCCCAGCCTGTTGGAGCTTAAAATACCAGTGYCGTTGCGCGATGGAGCCAACGATCTTCGAAACAGCAAATGCAGCCACCAAAACATAACCTTGGTGTTCGAAATCTTGGTGCCCGTTAAGGTATTGAACGAACGAGTCGATGAGGTAAGGACCAGCGAAATTAGCCAACGAATAGACTAACACGAGTAATCCTGTAATAACCACTTCTTTCCACATGATGTACAATAAAGCTTTCGTGAGACCGAATGTAGTGATTTGGTTATTCCCATTGCTTAATGACTTGACTCGATCTCTCAAAACCGGAAACACTCCGCTCACGTTATCTATATCCGCGAGATGAGGCACGTCCTCGAGRTCTAATGGCTTTTTGTTGCCTTTTGCAATCAAAGAACTCATCCAAGAAAATGTCAGCAGGCTAAAGAAACTTGCATTTTCATAAGGTGATGCAATCTCATCCCCAACTCTAGAGCCACTAGAATTCAAAAGGGGTTCTTCAAGATCATCGTTTCGAGCTTCTTCTTYGGTCTTATGGAATAATCCCACAAAACAAAGAAACAAACCCATGAAACTAGACACAGAATCAGACACAATGAACATATTAGAAGGTGAATTATGGGTTCTTTTGTGGTAAAAATAATCCACCATAAGGGAATAACATGAAACTGAGATGAAAAACACCCAGAAAACTCTTAGAACGAATGTGGGTACTTCGACGAATTCGAATCAAGTGTGTGAAGATAAACCGAAACAAATGACCAAATAAGTGTTCCAAGAACAGCATGCAAAAGGGTTACGATGTTTTCATCGGTCCAGCCGTTTCTGTACCAGTAAAAACTGTTCAAGAAACACAAAACAAGATTGAAGAGTGAAAGAGCAAGACAGGAAAAGAGCGTTCGTTTGTAAAACGAATACCGAAARCTTCGTTTTGGAACGACGGTTCGATCGATTCTGAATCTTTTCGAGAACCAAGTGATGAATATGAGAAGCAAGAACACAAATTGTATGGAAGCAACACACCCATGTAAGAAAATTGGGTTTAGCAAGAAATCAGTAGTTGGGTTCATGATCATAGGATTGTAAAACTTACCAAAAATGGAAATATTAGGATTCTCCATTGTTTGTATATATAGCAAATGGGTTGTGCATGATTTTAATTGGCTTTGATCACTCACTCATCGAAAAGTGTCTCGTGAAGCAGGAGTGGTGATGGGTTTAATGGGTTTATGGGCGATCTTTTTATAGTCATTTTTTTCCAGGAAGAAGAAAAGGGGGGCGGGGGCGGGGGGCGGGATCAAGTTTCTTGAAAAAATAGCGTGGTGGACAAGAATTTGGAGATGTAGACAATAATAGTAAGCATTTTTGTTCAGTATGTACATGTATATTGAAACTAAGAAACAACTTCAATCACTTGTATGCATATGTACATAGTGTCCAGATAAACGTTTATAAGGGTGTTTCCCGTGAACCTCGCTCGATGTCCATTTACCAAATCTTTACCGTGTTTATTGGGTTACTTACCTTATGCAGTAAAAGGCATGGCAAGAATCGAAAGTCTTACACAGTAAAAGGCATGGCAACAAACAATATTCTTACCCAATATGTGAGGGAGAAAGACTCTTACCCGATTAGCACTTTCCACTACTGAATTAGAGATCCTTACAAACAATTCATTCTGATATCCGAAACCGTTGCTCGACAAAATAAGTGAATGTGATACTCGTGTCGACAAGATAAACACTTAGTAAAGAAGTGCTTGCATCCACTAATTTGATGATTGTTGTTGAAAGCATTTAAATTTAAAGATGTCAATTAGATCGATTCATCAACACTTTTTTTTTTGTTAATTTTTTTAATAATTGATTTATTAAATATAATTGTAATTAAAAATCTATTTTTTATATACATAAATTATATTATAAGCAAAGTAGGTGGTCGACTTGGTCGTATAACCGGTTGAATATCTAAGTTAATATAAAAAAATCATATTATAAACATTTGAATATTGTTTAAATTTTAAAGATATGATGTGGGTGTTCGTTGAAAAATGGGTTGTAATGGACCACTTTCCAAAAAGAGGTGTCGATTTGGCAGGTCCCATTAATTCTTGCTGCTTACGCATATTTGACATTTTCTATACTTCATAAACATTATAACATGTTTGACCATGAAATATATGATTATTATAATAAAAGTTAGCGATGGAGATTTGACTCGACCCGATGAGTAACCTAGCTATGGGGACGGGGATTTATTTTGTTAAAACGGGTCTCGGACCGGCGACCCCCAGTAGACTCAAACTGAGGTTGAGGCTGAGGCTGAGGCTGGGGCTGGGGCTGGGTAGTGTATCCCCCGACCCGCCCTGTACTCGGTATATAATTTTTATTAATATATTTTATATAATATATGTATGTATATATATAATTTATTTTCTAAAATTAGGTCTTGACCGGGGACGAAGATTGGGATTTGACCAGAAAGTAAACCAGGGACTGGATATTAATCCATGTATCCGTCCGGGACCGGGGCCGGGACCGTTCATAGAAACCAAGGTCGAGGCGGGGGATTAGAAAACTCTCTCCATCCCCGCCTCGTTGCCATGCTTAATAAAAGTTATAATAATTAATTTAACTGATTGTTAGTTGGTTTTTCATTAAGTCTTGTATGGATAAAGTTGTCTGTATAGATTAGAAAGTTTTTGTTTGAAAGAGTTTTTTAATGAATAGAAGGAACGCGAATTTTAATTAGGAGGGGGCATGTTTGACTAAAAACTTGGCTTCGAGAATAAAGTTTTCCTATAAGCTTAGTAAATAAGTCACTTTCTATATCATTAAGTCACTATCAAACAATTATATATAATTGACTGAATAAGTTGCGAGTCTCATTAAGCTTATTAGACAAACTAGTCATAAATCTAATTCTTGTATTTCTTATGATGTAATCAAAAGTTAAAGATGTTTGTTGGTTCAGTTTTTGGATTCTTGCAGTTCCATTTATTCATTCGAATTCCTTTTAACCCAAAGAAAAAACCAAACCAAATTTGAATTGGTCAATTTTGGACCCGGTTTTTTAGTCCAGTTCTTTTTGGGTTTAAATAAACTGATGTTTAGCAAATTATCTATAAGTCAACTGTTAATTAATAAGCTAGATGGTAAACATGCAATGTCTATATACGTACGAATATACACAGACATATTTAAATACTCCCGTAGTTTCCATACGTTGAAATACAGCCACGGAGTGAGGGAGCTGATGGATGTATAGTAACCATGCAATTTGGTGCCGTGCAGATGATTTATACATTTTGATGAACACCACCGCCTACAATAAAATTGTCTTTATAGGACGTCTAGATTGTCTAAATGTCCTAATAAAATACTTTATAGAACTTAGGTTTATAGGACCAAACTATAAAACGTCTTATTTAAAAGCGTTACAATAGGTTTATAGGTCAATTTTAAGCATTTTAAAGGAACCCCAACAGAACAAAGACCTTTATTCATCATAATCTACACCAACATTCTTGGTTCAACTATTAGCTACATTACACCAGGAGAGAGCTAACTCTCACTTGGATTCCAGACGCACTCGACGCCATGAATGGGATATACTGGGTTTGTTTGGTTTCGTTCAAACATCCGATACTGAGCGAAAAAAAGTAAACTTTACAACCTTTTTCCTCCCTAAATGACATAATTAGACCACCCATTTACATATTGAACATGATCCATAGTTAAACTAGGAATCTTATCAACTTTAACTGGATTCTCTTTCCCTCCAATTAACTTAGCAGGGTTTCCAACAGCAGTAGTTCTAGCAGGAACATCCTTCAACACCACCGATCCCGCTCCGATTTTCGCCCCTTCTCCGATCCTAAGATTCCCCAAAATGCTACTCCCGGCACCGATCAAAACCCCATCTCCTATCTTCGGATGCCGGTCGCCCCCACTCTTTCCGGTGCCACCCAATGTGACATTATGCAGAATGGAAACATTGTTTCCGATCACCGCAGTCTCTCCAATAACAACTCCGGTGGCATGATCAAGCATTAATCCCCGGCCAATCTTCGCCCCCGGATGTATATCCAATCCAAACACCTCCGAAACCCGATTTTGGATCAAAAATGCCAAACTTTTCCGATTTTCCGACCATAGTTTGTGTGCTATTCTATGAGCTTGGCAACCAAGAAACCCTTTATAGTTCAAGAAACAGTGTACATAACTAATACAAGCTGGGTCTCTTTCTTTTACTGCCCTTAAATCATCTTTAACAGCTCTTACAATTTCTTGATCTTCTGCGAGCACACCCACAAAAAGATCATAAAGGGTTCCACTTGCAAGACTTACAGAACTCAACTTTAATGAAAGAAGATCAGCTAGACCACTTTCTATAGAAAAATGAGACAAGATTGCAGTGAAATAACAGTTTGCCAAGATGGGTTCTTGATCAATATCAGATCGAGCTTCATCTCTGATTTTCAGCCATAGATCATCATCTTCATCTTCATCTTGATGTTTGTGTACAAAACTGGAGATGGGTTTGCAGGAAAACTGATCAGAATAGCAGAAATTGGAGTAACTGTGATTAGATTCGAATTCAAGAACTTGTGGTCTGCATCTGTGAATGCAAGCAGTCATTTCTATAAGTTGTGTTTTGGGGGGAAATCAATGGAATTGGTTTGTGGTTTAGATTGAGAATGAAGATGATTATGAGAGCAAATGATGTGTGTGTATGCGTGTGTGTATATATATATATATATATATATATGGAGTTGGGGAGTCGTGGATAGGGTAAAGATCGGAGCTTTGACCGGAAAACAGTAAAAAAATGGTGGCAGATGGTTGATGGTGGTGTCATGGGAGGTGGTGTTGTAAATAAATAGGTTTTCAAAACCAAATTTGCTTCCTTTTACGCATTATTTTATTTACAATCATTTGGGGTGTTTTGGATGCTACATTTGATTGGTGTGATTTAAGATTCTGATTAATGGTTTTGTATAAAGTAAGGATATAAGAAGTTGACTAACAAAATTGATTTTCAAAATAAATTATTTTACCTTTTTTAAGGTTAAAATTTCAATTATTCTGTAACACCCAAAACAACAAATTGAACTCAAATAATCGGTTTTGATACCATTTATAATATCCAAAAAGGCAAAAGCAACAAGCTCGTTCAATAATTTTGAATTCAACTTAAAATCGTAGTGAAAGTTATTGGTAGCCCACAACTTGAGTATTGTAAGGAACTCATAAATCTCATTTTCTATGTATGTTGGACGAGGGTGGATTGGAAAATCCCATATTGGTTGGAGGAATAAAAATTGTCTTATAAGGAATCGGATATCCCATCAACGCGTATTAAAAATGTGAGTCTAAATGTATTGACAAAACAGACAATATCTTGTATGTTTGATGTGGAATGTTACAAGTATATAACAAAGATTCATAATTGAGGTTTATTTATGTTCATAAGTAATTTGGTCATATAATAGACCATAAATATAACAAAGATTCATAATTGAGGTTTCTTTGTTTGTTTATTCATGTTATAATTGTAACAAATAAAATGACGTCAGCAATTGTATGTATTTATTTATAATATTTTCAATATTTTGTAAATAATATATTACTTTTGCTTATATAATCTTTTTGTTATGATGGATTGGGTAGACAAAGACTGTTTTCGTGAAACATGGTTTTTACAGTTAAAACTTCACGACAAAATGTTGTGAAGGTAAAAAAAACCGAATCTTTACAGCAAAAACAGTATGAATGTTACCTTTACAGTGTTTTGCTATCAAGTTCAAGTGTAAAAACCGTGTTTCAAGAAAACAGTCTTGTCTGACATGATTTCAAGTCTTGTTAAGACTGAATTTTTTCAATGAGTCACATGGCACTTACCCATTGATCAACTAGCAATTAAAGTGGAGCGTCTTGAGTACGGGTTTCATTAGTCCATATCAATTACGCATTTTAGGTCAGTTACCAATTACGCCATTATCAAGCACGATTTGACCAGACTCGAGCTATAACTAATTAAAGGATTGGTCATTACCAGTTTTTTTTCCATCTTTATTTCATGGTAGGGGAAATGTTCACGTAATCTTATTCCCCGGACCTTGTGATTGAGATAATTGGCCTCTTTGATTTGGTTTTGTTTTAGAAGATATGATTGATATATATTAATAGTAATAAATAATGTGTTTTGAGGGCCGTCTATCAAATGTTTATTCAGGTAAGCAATGATCATGATTTTTAACCAGTAATTAGAGGCAAGAAAAGGGTTGGCAATCTTACCCGGTGAGTAAGGGTGGTGGTTGTTACTCCCTTCATCCCACAATAAGGTGACAAACTAGCTGATAAGCTAGCTGATGAACAAAACATGTTTTGTAAAAAATAGTCGATAAACATGTAAAATGACAAAAAATGATATCTTGAAAATTTAATTAATTATAATATTTTATAATATAATTAAAACAAATGTTTTTAACATTTTTTAATATCTTATTACATATAATCTTATGAAATTCCGTGAATCTATTTTTTAAAATATAGATGGCCAAATTAAAAATTAAGATGAAGGTGGCGGTTCAAGAAATAAATTAGAGGGAAATAATTGTTGATAAAAAGGATGACGTAAGCGGTGAGGTGGCAGTGGAGTATGGAAGTTGGAAGTGACAGAGGCTCACGTAATCAGTTACGTTCTAAATGGTCAACATAAGAGTCCACGTGATTCTGACTTGTGCCAAAAGCTTCCAATTATTGCATCCAAACCGCCGCCTCCCAAATAGGGGGATAGGAATTTGGGACAGGTACTCAGCGCCTAATGCATCCCCTCGTTTAAGCCTTCCCGCTCCCGACCCTGTCCTAACAGATTGTTGGAGTAATACCATCCTGATCCCGTTTCGGATATGAGAGAAAATCTATTTCGCTGACTTGATACCCGTCAAACGGAGAATCTGCGACTCTTGTACTTGCTCAACAAGCAAAATTTTATCTCTACTCCTAAAGTGCATTTTCTTTCAAAAGTGTGAATTACCGAATTGGTCCTTGTATTTTGATATTTTTTATAATTAAGGTTTTCATACTACATCTATATATATATATATATATTAAAGAAGAAACCAAAGGTAATGAGGTGGCACCTTCTAATGCTTAGAACCCCTCCTATCTTTTTTCTCATTTTTTTGATTTTTTTAAATGTTGAATTTGTTAAAGACTTTTTTGCCCCTTGATGAAAAATGTATAGCTTATAATTAACCCGAGTTATTTTTGTAATTTTGTATACCCAAGTTTAACCTCCAACTTTTGATTTGCTCTTCCATTTACTTTCTTTTATTTCTTAATGAAATTTATTTTTTAAAGTTTCAATAATAAACAAAATGAAATCATATAAAATCCTTTGGTGAGGGATGAAGAAGATGAGAGTTGAAGAAGAATTTAAAGATTTTAAAAGGTATGTAGAAATTATATTCATTAAAAAAATGTGATTTGTTATTACATGTTTCTTTTTCAATATTGTTGGATGTGTTGTTATCATAGGATATGATTGTGTTTACGATTGGATTATATAAATTGTGTTTACGATTTGATCATATAAATTCGAATAAAATTTTGATATTTTATAATCACAGGATATGATAAACTTTTTTCGAATTTAAGCTTTATTAACAACTATTTATTCATCTCCATCTCTCACACCCTCTCAAATTCTATCTCTATCTTATACATCTCTAAATTTATTTTCTTTCTCTTTGGTTTTTCTTCTATTTTACTATTGATAATCTTCATAGTTTTTTTT